AAAATTATGTAAAATCGTGATTTGACAAATAGGCCAATTTACATGGGAAGAATAAGGAGTATATTTAAACACAAGTGATAAACAGTAAATGTAAAGATACTAGAGCAGGAAACAAAAGTGCAAGACAACCGGAATCCTCTTGCTTCGCATCATTTAAAATTCTGCCAAAAGTGTAATGCCAATAAGCAGCAATGTTCTCATCATCCAACAAAGCACTAGAAAACCACACTTTTTGTGGAAGAATCATTAACTACATTTGGCATATTACAGTTTCTTTGATCTCTTGAAAAACAATGGAATGTTAGAAACCATATATCTTCCATGAGTCAATCTACATTATCGGGCTTCTAGATGCGACGTTGGATTTTGTGCAAGGACCAAACATGAAACATACTTTTTGCTTTTAAATTATGAAACCACTATTAACAATTTACCAAAAAAAAAAAATTCTACAAGTAGCACTTAAATTGATCTCAAATATAAAAATGAAGCGTATTTGCCATTAGCATGCCTATTCTAAGGACTACACCATTTAATACAAATATGTGCTTTCAAAGTGGTACATCCATTCAAAAATTTTATAAATATGTCAATACCATAACATAAAAAAATAAGTTCAAAACCTCTAATCACCAAACAATATGCAAAAAAGAAAACAACATAACAAGAAATACATCTAATATCTAGTTAGATCTATATAAAAAGCAAACATGTGATTCACATAGCACCTGGTATTTAGAAAATCTTGGCTCATTTTCAAAGAATGACACACCACCAATGAAAGAGTCCTATTGAATCAAATAAAAATGACAAAGTATAGATCATTAATCATACAAATGAGAAAAGGAAAATGAAAATGCAAACTTAGATAACAATACCCAATTAGATCTATGTACACATAACAAACTTGTGTACACATGACAACAACTATCGCAAAAATCTTTGCTATATTTCAAATGGATTCGGAAAAAAAGGATAGATTTTAGATTGTTAATCATAAAAAATAATTAAAGAAAAATTACTATGCAAAACCTAGCAAAAAGTACCTAATTAGATCCATGTACATATGAAACATCCGGTGTATCTAACAATTTGTATCCTCGAAATCTCGGGTACTTTTCAATGAATCTCACACTTCCGATGAAAGGATAAAAAAGAAGCTTGTATTATAGATAGATTGTAGCTAGATTGCTAATCATACATTGCAAGTAAAGGGAAAAAAAAAAAACCCTAGAGTAAATAGCCAACAAGATTTATGTATAGACCAAACATGTGATGCACATAAACCTGGTATCTTGAAACTTTTACTATATTCCGATGAATCGCAATCCTCTGCTAAAAACGATCGAGATGGCACTTGTAAAAATGAAAGGTTCTAGATGAATATTCATACAAGAAGAGAATATGATGGCAATACAAACCCTAAATCAAATGAAGTTATTCCGGCAGTTAGCCCAAGCCCAATTCGGCCCGGGCTTCGATAAAAGAGAAATGGTCCTAGGTTAAGCCAAACTACATATAAGTTAGTTTGACCAAGCCCATAAACTAAATAATTTTGGCAAGTACCAGTTCCAATCACAAGTTGGGCCGTGTTGTATAATTTTGTATGAAAGAAAATACACTCTCCCTATCAGCTAAAACTAAGTCACTATTATTATTTTGGTAGTCCATTAAATTTATATATTTTCCATTTCTAGCTTGTAAACAACTTTATTCACTCACAATTTTATTATCCATACTGTTATATATTTTGGCCGGTGATTATTGAGGCCTAAAATACACACAACCCATGACCCACCCAATTGAAGCCCGGATCCGTCAACCCGCTACCCGACCCAATCTTTAAGAGGCCGTCGGATCATGCCTTCTGAACCGGGCTGAACGGGTCTGTTCTGATCTCTATATATATTGCTGATGCCTGAACCAATTCACTACTACACAAAATAGATTCACTCGATTCACCGGAATTCCAGTGCGATTCCGTCATTTTCGCCTGCATGCTCTGGTGAATCTGTCCGGCGATTTGGAAAGTTCTTCTTCCATTCGAGTTGCGCCTTGCCCCTTGGAGTTACTACGGTTTGATTGTTTGATTTATGCCTTCTTTGTTGGTTTGCGGTGTAACTTGTCTGCGATGTTGTTTAGGCTTTAATTTCGGCAATGTTTCCTTAGATTAGGGTTCGGGTTTGCGTGTTTGTTGCGTTTCCGTTGTGAGTCATTTGTGGCTTGGGTCTTGGATGTGTGTTCAGTGTCGGTTTTGTTGATTTGAGGGTAAACTGAGTCCGAATCAATTTTGCTTCTGTAATAATAAAAGTTTTTTAAGTTTTGTTCGATATCGATTTGATTTAGTGAGAATATAGCTTATTCGATCTTGGTTTAGTAATAACACATACTTTAACAAATAATAACTAATTTTCCACTATATTGTGCTACTTACATAACTTTTTTACCAATTCTTTAATAAATTTCCCATAATACTCATAATTTATACTTTACAACGTCCATTGTAGTATTAAAATACAAATATTTTTAATCTTAGTATCCAAGAAAACTTATATAAGTTACATTATCCTGAGCTAGACCCGGGTGGTTTTAAAAAAGTAGGTCCAGTGGGGTCTATAATAATTTTCGAATGTCAATCTCGTAGTAACACTATTAATAGCAAATAATTCTTATATACTTTTAAATTTGTACCCTGGAACATTACACTTACATACAAAACTGACGAAACTACTTCTACACTCACTTTATTAAAAATTTTCTCAATTCATTAACTCATTAATACACTTTTCAAAATACTCATACTTTATATCACAATGAATTAATATGATATTATATTTATTAAAAACTTGTGTCCATTCCAAATGGGAATAAATTTAATAGACGGGGAGAGTAATTTATTGTCACTTTTAATAGAAGAGTGGAAAGGTACATGTACGCATTTTGGATACCTCTACAACGTACTTTTTTATGAAGAATGATGCATATAAATCTATGCTTCGCAATATGGTGCATGCCATTTTTACTTTATTTTATTTTATTTTTTATCTTTATTTTTTTTATGGAGGGAGGTTTGAAACTAGCAAAATTTAAATCCTGAATTTAGGAATAGGCCAATTTACATGGGAAGAATAAGGAGTACATTAAAACACAAGTGATAAACAACAAATGTAAAGAGACTAGAGCCGGAAAAAAAAGAAAAAAAGATGTAAAGACAACCGGAATCCTCTCGTTTTGCATCATTTTAAAATCTACCAAAATGTAATGCCAATAACACTGGATTAGAATGTAATATGATGACAATACAAACCCTAAATTAAATTAAGTTATCCCAGTGGTTACCCCAAGTCTAATTCAGCCCAGCCCAGGCTTAGATAAAATAGAAATGGTCCTCGGTTAAACCAAACTAAAGCCCATAAACCAAACAATTTTGGGCTAATAACAGTTCTAATCCTAAGTTGGGCCGTGCTGTAATTTTGTATGAAAGAAAATTTTATTTTTCTGGTAGTCCGCTAAATTTATACTTTTTCCCATTCTAGCTAGTAAACAATTTTATTACTCATACTTTAACAAATAATAATTAATTTTCTACTACATTTTGCTATATCGTCACTTTTTTACCAGTTCTTTAAATAAATTTTCCCATAATACTATTATCTTTTAATCTCTGTACCCAAACATACTTATATAAGTTTTGAGGATGAAGAGAGTATTATTTAACCAGATTAGATCAATTTTGGATGAAATTATCATGGGCTATACATATATATATATATTGTGATATATTATTTTATTTAATATTAATATTTTTAATTTAGTATATAAAATTAATTTAATTATCATTTAATATTTTTAAAATATATATATAAATGTTTTTATAATTATAGAAGATACTTGTAAATAAAAAATGTAAAATAGATTCAATAAATTTACTACATTTATACAATTAGACAATTTTGTTTATTTATTGAAAATTTTTATAAAATTATCTAATTTTGAATATTTATCTTGCTCATAGAATATATCCTACATATTAAAAAATATGCATTTTCTTTTTTTTTTTGTACGCAAAGCCTACCATGTGGCTTTAAGAAATTGGACAGGATCAAAGCAAGTGAGATGGTATACAGGTGAAGATCACGCCGCTGGCGATCGAAAAATGCAATTTTTGGGAATATGTATGATATATTTATGTATAGAGGATATTTTTTTTCGCAATGTTCCCTATATTCCCATTAACCTATATGTTCATGTAGACCAAAGTTGAAAGAGATAAATTCAATACTAAACCAATAGTTTAAAGGCATATATACCAATGATTGCCATCATAATTACCAAAATTTATGACATAGCATGATAGATAGAAAATAAATAAGATTTTACAAGACACTACCAAAAAAAGGTCTTTTTGTAACAGTCAAATATTTGTAACTATAACCCATTTTTCGTGCAAAATAGTTTTTTGTGTCGACTTTGTTACGGATTTTGACCGCTACGAAAAATCGCGGTACAAAAAGTCCATGTTGCAACAAAATCCGTAACAAATATTTGGTGGTCAACTCTCAAAATAAGAACGTTTTATTATATTTGTTACGTTTTTTGGTATGTAACAAAAACATCAATCATATTTTTGAATCGACAAAGATCCGACACAAATAATGCGGAACAAAAGTTGAATAATGTCAGAGAAATATTTGTTACGACATATGTCCAAATCAACAAATGCGTTACAAATGTCTAATCTTGTCAGAAAACTTCTTGTTACAAGATTTGTCCGTAACAACAATACATTACAAAAGGACTGCCTCCTAACAAATAAGTTGTTTGTTACAAAATTAGTCCGCAACAAAAAGTCATGACAAAAGTCAGGCAACCATACATTACCATTTGTACCGGCCACTGTCCGTAACTAAAAATACGCTACCAAGGACGTCCCTGTGTGGCATAGTAGTTTTGTCGCCATAAATAAATTCCATTTGTCTGTATTATTAATCTGTGAGAAATAATTTAAAACTTAATCTTATCATAATTGTTTCCAAATCCATGGTAATACTACACATGGTTATCAATATAACAATGTTCATAGTCCAGCCAAAAATAAAATATTAGTCGTCAACGGTGCTAACAAAACATCCCAAGAAAACACGAATCCGTACACCATCATAACAACCTACTAAATAACAATACGCAAAACCAAAAAGTAATACGTAAATAGATAAATATGATATCATACGTAAGTACGATCTTAAGGGCAACTCATAAATACAACTATGAATGACCCAGCTCGTCGAGTGCTGAATCATGGAGTATGCAATCTCGGGCGGCGAACCAACTGCAATGTGTTTTTAATAATATATAAGCATTTAATACAAAAATTTAAGTAATTTAATTTCCAAAGGAATAAAGTAAATAAAAAAAAATGCGTACATCCTTGTAAATCTACTCGATATTATCTCCGTCGAATACATCACCGAGAATTTTCGCTCCAGCATTAGTTGGAAGGATGAGTGCGGTCTCCGGGACTATTACAGTTGTAACATACACCTTAACAATGGCTAGGGTATCACCTATATAAATAGGTTAAACAAGCGCTAGTTACGAGGAAGGTCTACCTCTGTAAATATTATGGATGAATATAATAAAATAAAACTTACACTTTAGCTTGATCAAGGGACCCTATCTTAAATATAAGTATAGTAACAAATAAACTCGAAAAACACTAATAAAATAGGCTGACTCCTGAATATGCTACTCTGCACCACATTAATGAAAATGAATGATAAAAAAATGCTTCACTTGTTACAACAATGTTGTATCTCAAAAAGCATCAGTGCAGTTTGATATCTTCATTTTGCTTCACACATAGTCAAACAAATGGAGAACCTCGATTTTTATATAATACCATCAAACAGATCCTCTAGATTCTCAACATTATTCAGAGCTAAAAGCTACTCAGAAATTCATCATCAGCAATAGAAATAATCTTCAGGTTGTTCCCAAGGATAAATTATCCGACCAAATGAATAATGATTTGAAAATGATAAAATCACGAAACACGCTTCCATAAGTGTGGACATGACTCCCACCTTCTATTCAATGATGATGAGAATCTCTGATTCATTAGAACTTCACAATGAAGTGCAAACCTACTAGTAAATAACAATTATATTAAACATCGACTAAAATTGAATCCAAACTTAATTAACAAGTTCTACACCGAAACAACTAAATAAACACAAAACTAACTTAGATTTACAACCATACCAATTTAAGTTAATTAAAGGAGCATCCCATCTTAGCCAAGGAAATCCAAGAAACAGAACAACACAAATTATTCTATTGCAACAAGGTTAAGGAACTAGACATAAATTAAACAACCTAAACCAATCTAATCTAACCTACAACAATCAAGATATATACAAATAAACAATCAAGAAGCAAACTTATATATTATCAACATTCAAAGCCAATAAAAACTTCCGTGATTGCAAAATGTTTCGTGGTGCAAAATTTTGGAGGGGGGTGAGGGGAGGGGCTGATCTACTAAATCCTCATACTTGCATATTTTTTTTGCCTTCGAACAATTGTGGTTGACACTGAGGAGGAGCTACAATTAACAGAGAGAAAAAAAAAAATCAACCATAAGGCTATTTAACAGAGAAAAAAAAATCAGCACATGGGTAGAGCTAAAGCTAATTCCAACATCAACCAAAGTAAGGCAAATGTCATTTGTTAGGGCTAACACAGTCTACTCTTAATTGCCAATATATAGTTCAAGGCATATCAAGAAAATGAATTTATCAAGCATTGCAAATTTTCAGCAGCTTTAACTCAGATGCAACTCCTATCACATTAATGTCATCTAAACCGAAATTCAATAATACAAAGAAAATATACAACACAGACAAAAAAATATTACATTGATGTACCTTCGAAAATAATGGTAAAGTATCTAAGGCAGTTTTATCAAGATTCGTCTCTTTCTGGAATTATCAAGGGCCAAGACTCCATTAGTAACTTTCTTTTGCTTAAAGCAAAAGTGTCAAGAGTACTTTATCAAAGTGAATCATGGGGGACATAGAAAGTCTTTTCCCCATTATTTACATTCAACACTCACCAGTTTCTTTTGGGAACTTCCAAAGAGCCTGAGACAAGCCAAAAAAAAGTTGTTCATTGCTCATCAACTCATCCTTAACTTTCACCAAGGATTAATGCAATCATTAATGTATATCAACAAAAATTTTAAAACTAAACTGATAAGATGAACAACTGTGCTAGAGCATGTTATCCAATTCAACTCTATTTAGCTAGTGACGGTAGAAACTAAACCATACTCAAGTACAGAAAATCCTAACATAATTACAAATGCATTCTAACAACTAACAATAGCAACTTAACTATTTAAAACATCAGATCGTTCATAAGAGCAATTCTCCGGGGTGTAGTACAATTTTGTTGGCATTTATGGTTTCAATGTCTTTAAGTGGCTATAAAAGATTCGTCTGCAATAATCTAGTCCCGCAGTGATTTATTAATATAAGATACATTATCTTAAAAAACATGGTATCATATTATAATATTAGCAAGGATAAATACTTCCATTTAGAAGTAGTGAAGACTTCAAGGTGAGGCATGGTGAGATCGGCACAACTCCAATGACTCTTTTATTCCATAAATTTACATACATGAATCAATCGCAGAAAATTATAATGCAAGTATATGTTACTTACGGGACCAACTACATTTCTGCAGTGTTTAATGTTATTCTCCTAGAAGTGACTCAAATGTTAATGCTTAGATTGTCATACACAATCCTCATCTCAGAGTTTTCTCCACAAATATCCCACATCAAACAACCATATAAGTGTGATTGGATCTTGGAATTCAACTCAACTAACAAAATTTTTTCAATTTCCAATTTTAGCCTATAATATATTTTTTGTACAAAATCGGAATAACCCAAAGTAGCAACACAACATATAATTAAATAATTTCCAAAACAAGAGATTTGTAACTAGATATCAACAAAGCATTTGTTGCTACTCCAAGCAAGCAGAACACAAAAGGAAACAAAATCAAGAACACGGTAAGAACAACTTATCCTTCTTTCTTTCGCCGTAAAGCTCCTATCGGTGATAATGGTGTCTTCGGTTTTCATCTCCGACATCAATCGGCGACCACGAACAGAAAAGGCGGACAACGACTTCTCTAAAGAAGAAGAAAAATGAAACAAAGAAGAAGAAGTAAACAAAAAAAAATAAAGGAAATGAAGAAGAAGAGGCGGCGGGAGAAGAAACCAAAGAAGAGGAGGAGGAACAAGGAGAAACAAGAAAAAATGGAAACGAAAGAAAAAGTAAGAGAAAGAAGAAGGCGAGCGGCGGCTAGGGTTTGATTTTTATATCAGGTTTGGTTTTATTTTATTTTTATCTTTAATTTAAATTATTATATATTAATAGAAAAATAATCAATAATTAGAAGAAATTGAAGATATTTTAATTATTTCTATGAATTAATTTATAATTAGCAATGAAAATATAAAGCATAATAAATTAATTAGTTTCAGTTATAAAATTAAATTTTGTAGTTAAATAATAAATTTGAAATAATTGTATATAATTATTTTTTATAATAATAATATTAAAGTTTTTGTTACCGATTGAATTTGCAAAAAAATATATATATTACAACATTTTACCTTATCTGTAATTGCTATTGATATATTATCGAAATAAATATTTTTTTTAATTTTAAAATAATTTTATATTGATTTTTTTTTATTTAAATAGAAAATTTTAATATTAACTTATTTGTTACGGCTTGAAATGCATAACAAATATGTATATGATAACATCTCGTCCAAAATGTGTAATTGTTACGAATAAATTACCGAAATAAATAAGTTTTTTTTAAATTTTAAAATAATTCTATATAGATTTTATATATATACAGAAATTTTCAACATTTAGATATTTCTTACAGCAAAAATATATTTATTACGGATAAATTATCGAAATAAATACAAAAAAAAGGTTGACCAACCATTAAACTTTTTATTCTGATAAATTTCGTAACAAAAGCCACTTTTTATAGCAGACTTATTTTGACGGAGAAAATACTCAGCTACAAAAAGTCAATTTTTTGATAGTGAGAAACAAGGTGGCCAAACAATACTCGTAGCTCTATACAAGTGATTTCAAAAATATTAATTTTAATTGGAACAAATGCCAACAAATTACATCGTAGGCACAAAATGCCACTATTTTTTGTTAAACCTTTGAGGTATATACTAGAAATAAATGTAATGAAATATTAAAAACAATTAAATTAATTAAATTAAATTTGAAAAAGAAAAATTATCTAATATATCATTAGAATGAGAAAGGAAATTCGAAAATAATATACCCTCCCATTCACAATGTATCACACTTGTCTGTTCCGAACTACAGCTTCCGCAGAAAACAATGGCTTCTGCATCCCAAGTTCCTACTAACTGTTGGGAATAATAACAATGATACACTATAATATAATTTTCTAATTGTTAGAATATCACATGGGCATTAATAAAATATTAGAAATATAATGATACGTGGATTTACATGAAAAACGTCTCCAATACGAAAAGAAAAAACCACGAGGCTCTGCAGTCCACCAAAAACTCCATTATCACCAAAAAAAGAAGAGTACAAATGTCCAAATCACAATCTGGTATATGTCCTAAACAAGTCATCAAAATCTCAATCTCATAAAACATTTAAAAACAGAACAAAAACAGAGTCAATAACCTGTCCTAATGCGAATTTTTATCTGAAAATCAAACTGCTAAAAAATGATATCCACCGTACAGAATGGAGATGTTGATGTCCCATGTGTTCAATAAATATTTTATGCCGATCAGATAACTTTTACTATGTTGATCAACCAAAAGTTCAAAACGGCATAGGACAGGTGATATGCACGGTGGCTGCTCTGTTCTGTCTCTATATTGCACGCTGCTAGTATGATTTTTCTCCAAAAGGGTTAATTAGGTCATAATCATCAATTTGGCCTAATTATCTTAATGTGTAGTTTAGACACATAGAATAATCATACAGATCAGTTCGGGTTCTTGCTCTTCGCTGTACTTCCATATCTTTAATATTATCAAATTACTTTACACAATTTTCCCAACATAATTGGGCTCCGAGCTTCTTCAGGAATGGTGATTGATTTGTGCAGAACTGTAGTTCTTTCCAACAACATAAACTTTTGATAGTTATTCAGGTATTTCTCTAACTGTGATACAACAATAATTGCTCAATTAAAATGGAAAAACATAGATCACGCCAGTAAAGGCTGAAACAATCCATACCTGTTACGGAATAACTACTTCGAACCCATATCTATCAATCCACATGGATTTAGCATCACTAATAGCTGGAAGAAGCATTTTTTTTTTATTCACATTCAAGACTGATAAAACATGCTCGATGCAAGAAAAGAGTGCCGAGCGAGCAGTATCCCTGCAACAAAACAATGGTTTGTTATTTAAATACCAAGTAAACTGATAACAAATCCTCTTAGCTTTTGAATATCATAATTACACCTTTTTCTGCTCCCTTTCCTTGGTTGCAATCAGCGGAAGTTCTGCAATGTCCTCTCCAAATATCCGAATTATTCGGGGGCAACAATCTTTGATCTGTAAAGTCATACAAAATACATTAAATTTGATAGGACCGAATTGCCCTGAAGAAAATATAGAAGACGGAAATTACTTCAGTTTTCCATCAAAATATAGCACAGGTATCGAACAAAATTATCACCATCGACAACTGATACTCACATGTAAGTAGCGTAACAACAATGTAAAGCGGTTCTCTCTCTTTTTCAGAACAATATTTGGCGGTAAGAAGCCTCCATTTTACATCCACCTTTCTTTTCTGTTCTAATTTCCTCCTGAGAATGTCTAAATTGGCAGCAAGAAGCTTTCGAGCTCCGTCCCTAGCTAACTTCTCAAGAGTTGAGTGAAGGCCACTATAGCTCTTACAATAGAACCATTTGTCTTCCAGAAATTCCTGCAGTTTGTTTGTTACCATAAATAGACAAATTGGCGCAAACAAATTAAATTCATAAGACTCATGTACAGGGTTTCTAGTTGAGGACCTTAAGATCATCATTCCTTTCCTTTCTCAAACAACCAACATGGCAGACTCATGGTTATTTTGATATTTGACAGAGAAGCAGAAAGAAATTCCTGAATACTTTTTACCTGCTCGCAAATAATAACTGTCAGGTCTGTGAATCCTTTGCTTACGAAATCATGCCCCTGGCAGAAAACATGCTTGTACATTTAATTTTATGACTTGAACAACAAGTTGTTTCAGTTTCATTGATATCAAAACACATACAAACAAATGAAAAGGAAAAGCATATAACACACACAACCTGCAAGTGGCATGTAAATAAAGCTCATCCTCACACACTTCCTTGCTACTACTGCTCTCCACAGTGTTTTTCTTTCTTTATGATTGGTGGCAAGATATCTTTGAACAGCAACTCTACAGACACGATTCACCCCATCTTTCACATTCCAAAACTATTTTCACAATATCTACAATGCCATTTATCCTCAGTAATACTCGGTAGGCCAATACAATCTACATGATTAACCAACGTAGGTCATATAATGAACGAAGAGCGCACAATAAGCTGTATATAAATTTGGGAATATATAGAAATTTTGATTTATTGCCTAAAAAGTATTATAAAGAAAGAACAAAAGAGCCAAATTTTAGAATAACGAACATAATGGTAAACAAAACAAACAACATCAATTATAACTACATGCTTTACCTAATTGCTTTGTGTGTTTATCATATAAGAACTCTTTGACATATCTATCATGACTATAAACCATAATAATTGCAAGAATAACATATCTATCATGAGAATAAAGCATAATTCCAATCGATTTCAAATAACATATCTATCATAAGTACAAACATAAGCATACATTTTCAGCACACTTGCAAAAACAAACAAAAAAAAAATACAGAAAATGCTATATGTATAATCTCCCCTAAGTGAAACCCTCGCGGACAACTTCTGCACGATAATGGATCCCCACTGCCATAGCATATGAAGCAAATAGTGTCACCTTCTTTTTGAACCACTCCTTGATTTTTGATATGTTCAATGCATAGATCTTGGAGGGATACATTTTCTTTGGTATATTCCCACGAACCTAAATGTTCAAGTAGACTAGAGTTGAGAAAAAGATAAATCGAATACTAAATCAAAAAATAAGTGACTCAATGTTGTTACGATTAATGGAATAAACTTTATCTTTGTTAAATCACAATTAGGGTACAATATTATATTTATACAAGAGATATATTAGGTAGGATATATATATATAAATATACAATATATATATGTAGAATATATATCAACATCCCCCCAAACTCAAGGTGGAACGGTGGAACCCAACTTGAGTTTGCTCAAAAAAGACTAAAAACAGCCGGGAATGTGAGGTTTGGTGAATCCGTCGGCCGTCTGATCAGCAGAGGAAATGGGAGACAAGGAGATGCTTCCATGAGCAACGTGATGACGCACAAGGTGACAGTCGATCTCAATGTGCTTCGTACGCTCGTGGAAGGCATCATTCATTGAAATCTTCATGGTGCTCTGACTGTCGCAATGAATAATAGTGGCAGAGGGCTGAGGCACTCCGAGATCAGCCAGCAGCCAGCGGAGCCATAGAAGCTCGGCAGTGGTATCGGCAAGGGCTCTATATTCGGACTCTGCGCTGGACCGGGAGACAACGGTCTGTTTCTTGCTGCGCCACGAAATAAGCGAGTCGCCAAGGAAGAAGCAAAACCCGGTGGTCGAGCGGCGATCAGAGGGATCTCCCGCCCAATCAGCGTCAGAATACCCGGTCAAAACTAAGGAAGAATGAGCGGAATAATGAAGCCCATGAAGAAGAGTACCTTTGATGTACCGGAAAATCCGTAGGACAGCAGAATAATGAGTCGTCCGAGGAGCAGACATAAACTGACTGACGATATGGACGGCATAAGCAATATCCGGTCGAGTGACAGTCAGGTAGATGAGACTTCCCACCAGCTGACGATACAAAGTCGGATCATCAAGGGGAACGCCATTCATCGGAGTAAGACGACAATCAGAATCAAGAGGTGTAGGAGCAGTCTTGGAGTTAGTGAGACCGGCACTAGATAGGAGGTCGGAGGCATACATGGCTTGAGAGAGATAATATCCGTCGGAGGTGTCGGAGATCTCAAGTCCTAGGAAGTACCGAAGAGGCTCTAAACTCTTCATCTCAAAGTGGCGGTGTAGATGAGCCTGCAACTCAGAGATACCTGATGCATCAT